TTTCGTAATTGCAATGACATTTCTAATACAGTTCACTAACTCTTTCTTTCTTTTATAAGGAGCAGACCTTCATTTAAACTGGCTAGTTGCAATCAGACCTCTCTTTCACTTGTAAAGATCTGATTTCACCTACTTTTTTGTTTACTGTAGTGCTAGGTTTCCTTTGAGCACAGTATCACATACAGATAAATAGCAAGAATAAACCACAACTGAAACAAACAAAAAAATATTTCATGAGGATAGATGAATCTGAAAAGGAAAGATCAATATACTTACAAAAGTGAGAACAGCATTATTAGCACTTTAAAAAAACAAACCAAAAACAAAAACACAACAAAAAAACAAACCACAAACAAACCCAAACTTTTCAAATGCTCATAATTCACCCCTTTTGATTTGCCACAGAATTCTCCTTCCCCTAGTGCTACATCAGAGAAGTACATGAATCACAACAGGAGAGACGCAGTTTTGCTGTGTGCATATGTTTAGTTTCACATGTGCCTTGTGAAGAGTCACAAGATCTTTTCATGTGGAGCTCAGTTCCCTTATTCAGCTTATTTTAAGTACAAAAACATTCTGAATTCAATAAACATAGGAAATATTCCACTTGTTACTGAGTTCTGCACAAAAATTTGCTGTGACAAGAGTTACACTGTATTTTAAAAATGTTCATAACAGAAACACAGCTAAAACTACTTAATTTGCCCTCCAAATGATCCCCCAGAATAATTCACATTTATATATATATACATACATAGTCATCATTTTATAGAATGACTTGCCATCCAAGGCTCAGGTGACACTGTGAAAAGAGCTACATAATGTATCTTTTCATCTCAGTGCTCACCAGCAAGTGCTCCAGTCATGCTGCCCAAGTCACAGAAGGCAACAGCAGTGACTGGAAGAATGAAGAACTGCCTGCTGTAGATCAGGTTTGAAAACATCTAAACATTAAGTTCAGGCACAAGTCCATGGGACCCGACAAGAAGCATCTGCAGGTACTGAGGGAATGGACAGATGAAGTGGATAAGCAGCTATCCATTGTATTTGAGAAGTCATGGCAGTCTGGTGAAGTTCCTGCTGACTGGAAGGGGGAAATGTAACTCCCATTTTCATGAAGGGAAAAAGGAAGACCCAGGGAACTACAAGCCAGTCAGTCTTACCTTGGTGCCTCGCAAAATCATGAAGCAGGTCCTCTTGGAAACCATGCTAAGGCACATGAAAAATAAGGTGCTTGGTGACAGCCAGCATGGCTTCACTAAGCACAAATCATGCCTGACAATTTAGCGGCCTTCTGAGGCAGGTTGACAGTGTATATGAATAAGGGCAGAGCAACTGACATCATCTACCTGGACCAGAGCAAAACACCTGACACCACACAACATCCCTGTTTCAAAACTGGAGAGGCCTGGATTTTATGGATGGACCACTCAGTGGATAAGGATTTGGCTGGATGGTCACACTCAAGAATTCATGGACAACAGCTTGATGTGCAAGTAGAGACCAGTGGTAAGTGCGCATCTCTCAAGGGTCAGTGTTGGGACCAATCCTGTTCAATGTCTTTCTCAATGACATGGACAGTGGGACTGAGTGCATTCTCAGTAAGTATTTCACCTACACCAAGCTGAGAGGTGAGGTCAACATGCTTCAGGGATGCCATCAGAAGAACCCTGACAGGCTCAAGATGGGACTGTGTAAACCTCATGAAGTTCAACGAGGCGAAGTACAAGGTCCTACACCTGGGCCAGGGCAATCCCAAGCACAAACATAGACTGGGCGGAGAATGGATTGATAGCAGCCCTGAGGAGAAGGACTTGGTGGTGTTGGTTGATGAGAAGCTCAACGTGAGCCAGGAGTGTACGCTCACAGCCAAGAAAGCCAACCGTATGCTGGGCTGCATCAGAAGACTGTGATGAGCAGGTCTCTCATGAGACCCTACCTGAAGTACTGCATCCAGCTCTGGGGCCACCGACACAAGAGGAACGTGGATCTATTCAAACATCATGAAGATCAGAAGGCTGGAGCACCTCTCCTCTGAAGACAGGCTGAGTGTTGGGCTTGCTCAGCCTGGAGAAGGCTCCAGGGAGATGTTATAGCAGCCTTCCAGTACCTAAAGGGATACTACAAGAAATCTGGAGAGCGACTGCTTATGAGGACATGCAATGATAGGACAAGGGGGAACGGCTTTAAACTGACAGAGGGGAGATTTAGATCAAATATGAGGAACAAGTTCTTTTCGCTGAGGGTGGTGAGACACTAGAACAAGCTGCCCAGAGCAGCTGTGGCTGTCCCATCCCTGGAAGTGTTCAAGGCCAGGTTGGATGGGGCTTTGAGCAACTTCGTCTAGCAGCAGTTATCCCCGCCTGTGGCCAGGGGGGTTGGTATTGGATGATCTTGAAGGTCCCTTCCAAACCATTCTATGATTAATGTAAACCACAAAGTACATATTCCCAACTCTTAAGAAGTTTGGGAACTCTGTTTCTGCCAGATACATTTTGTATCAGGTAGAGAACTCTGACCTATCAATCAGAAATGTATTTTAAAATAAACTTTCAAGTAGGCAATTCTGGTTTATGATTTAGAATTTTGAATCACCAGAATTACTAGGGAAAGCATGTTTACCATATTTATTAAAACAGTGTACTATGTTTTCCAATGCTATTTTAACACTACAGGACTAATCACTACTCTCACCAACCTGGAAGATGCAGCAGGGCTGCATCCTCAGCCATTCAATTCAAATGTATCAGACACTGAGACAACACAGTATCAATTTTGAATGAAGTATGTTATTCAAAAACCGCTCTTCCCCCAGTATGTCCATCCTGGCATGTGGTGTAGAATACTATTTTCTGTAGAAAAAACAGATTCATTATACATCCATTCCTTTCATCTCAAAGATGATGAAAAAAACTCAGTATGCATTATTTTTTCTGATTACCAAGGTATTTCTGAAAAAGTTAGATACCATCATCCATTATACATTTAACTTTTCTATTTAAATAGAGCTATGCATGAATTTTCTACTCCCTCAGAACATAGTAATGGTGCTACAACACTGAGGAGTAGACAGAGTCGCTTGCAATATTCCTTGCAACTAGCCTTAATAATTACTGCTTTGTACGTGAGCTAATAAAAAACCCGAAGTATCTTCTCAAAGCAAGAAAGTTATACCACCACAGGGAAATTCCTACTCACAGCACACACTTAAGAATAAGCATGACACTGAAAGTTAAACAAATTAAATTCACATGTGCCAAAAGGTTCTACCAAAGCCTACAGAAGATGCTCTACACATAGTTTAGAGCAAATATATGAATGTGTACATTTTGACCTCATGATGGCCTACACATCACTGCTACTTGGTTAAAGTTTCTGCTTTACTTATGGTGAAATATTGTCAATCATTCACTTGTGCTTAATCAAAGAATATAAAGTACATCAAAAATCCAGGAGTCTACTATGAAAAGAGCAGCTGTCCAATAACAGATTACATACACACACACACACACACACACAGAGTTATTACTGGAATGTATAATTTTATTCTTCAAGTTAAGGAAATTTTGAAAAAATAACTGTAATATGTCATTTAAATGAATCATAGTTGTAAAGTTAGAAAGAAACGTTTAGCTCAGTAAATTTTAAAACTCAGGAGACTTCACAGTAGAAGATAATTCACTTCCACTACAGCCTATCTTACACAGAGAAAATTAACCTCTGGCTATTTTTTCCTACACTAAGATGCTGAGATACACTTAGGAAGGTAACTCAATACACTTGCACTAATTACAATAAATTCTTCTACATTCAGACCTAAGCCACTTACTAGGAGTATGTCCTGGCAGCTGTAAAGCAAGGAGAACTTCCATGCTTACAATTTTTGTATTGCAATATCCATATTTTGATCACTGGGGAATCCAGTCCAGCAGATTCTAGTTACCACAGTAAAGGTGGTATTTTTGAAGATACGCAAGTAACCTTTAGAACAATGATATATCCAAGCTAAATCCCCCCCTAGACAAGATTCCAACCTCATGTTTAGTAACCAAAGAATAATTTGGATAAATTAACTTAGTTCTAACTTAATTTTTAATGTTTTCACACTACTGACATTTGTAGAACCATTCATGTTCTAGACTGCTGCATAAACCAAGTAATCTTAACAAATGAAATTAAGCACAAAAGACATGCCCAGATTAAAAGGGGCAAAGCAGGACTCACTGGCCATCAGGTGGCATAAAAGTTAAACTTTAACATAAAAGTTAAACTACATTTAATGATGATGAGACAAAATTTTCTTTCTGTTTAGGTTACAAAAGTCAAAACCATAGAACTGGGATCTTTGAACTGCAAGAAAGAAAACAAATGTTTCCTATCTTCGGCTTAAATGTTGAAGACACTGTTTCAGTAAGTACAGTATACTGCTACCAAAGGTCTCTTCAGTGAGAAGACTGAAAAGTACATTTTGCTTGGCAAATATTTGCAACAGTGAAAATTTGGGAAATGCTACAGTGCATTCCACAGTAATTGGAACACAGGATATCGTGAGAATCTCCTAGTTGCTGTATATGCACACTGATACTTCCTTTTCTAGAAGGAGACTACTCACAGCTGCAGAGAGGATTTTGAAACTTAAAAGCCAAATGAACCTTTGAGGATGGATAAATGTACCCACTGTAACATACCTGTTCTGCTTCATGCACCTTGTTTGTTCCAATAACTGCTAGCTGGGTCCACATTGTGCACAATATAAATATAAATATAAATAATAAATGTAAATATAAATATAAATATAAATATAAATATAAATATAAATATAAATATAAATATAAATATAAATATAAATATAAATATATGTACTGCTTGAACATCTTAAACAGAAGCAACAGCTTCACAAAACCTCACACAATCTAAGCTTCCACTGGTCTCCTGTGAAAATGTTACTAAAAGTTTTTAAAGCATATAAAAGAAGAATCAGACTCTGAAAATTATCATACCTGATACAGCAAGAAAATCATCAATACTTATTATATCATCCACAGCTTCAGTAAGGACATGGATGTGATTCTCCCATGTACTCCTACACATCTCCATGTTGTTTTTCACAACTTGACTTTTTGGTCTGGCAGCAAGAGCTAAAGCAGCATTAATAACCTGTACCAAAAATAAAGACAAAATCCAACATTAAAATAATTATGTCTTCAGAAATAAAATCTAATGTTTTACTTAAAACTGCAGAGCAGTATTTCTGTTCTATAAGCAAAAGCAATGTTCAGTTTTTGTTTCTGTTCTCAGCAGGACTATCAGGCAGATGTTGTTTAGGCCGTCTTCCATGAGCTTTTTAACTTACGAAGCTAAAAAGGAACATGATAGCAAAAAACCCAACTTTTATTTTTAGTTGGAGAATTCATACTATTCCAGTTTGCAATATATTACTACAAGTAGGTTTTTACTTCCACAAACTTAAAGCACACACTTACTGGTATGACATACATCAGTTTTGAATTTAAACTCTTTTAGGAACTGTTGCCACAGAGCTTATTATGAAGTATCTTCACTGACAGAGGTATTATCAACCTCTCATAATGATAGAGGTAAGTTTTGGCAGGACAACAGGTTATCTCTTTTAGGATCAGTGGCGTGGGACATAACACATACTACATTTATATAAAAACACAGACTGATATTTCTATACCAGTTAGGCCTAAAAATAGTAACTAAGTTCACATGAAGGGGGTAGATCCCATCTCTCCCTGGAAAGACTAATTAAAGATAGAAATATTGGATCCTGAAGTTATTACTTCTCTAGATGCCTCTTCAATCAATTAATTAGCTAGAGGATTTTCTTCCTAATATGGCTTTTTGTTGATGTTTTACTGATAAATGTTATTTAAATTAATCTAATACATAATCCAGGCAGAACTGAACATTAGCCTTATACTAATCTTTTTTTCCCCTTCCCAATATTGCTTACTTATCAAGGGTAAAATTGTTTTAAGACGACAAAACACCATGTGAAGCAAAAAATGAGAAGAATAAAACCAAAATGTCACACTAATCCCCAGTGCTGACAGTATACGTTCCTGAAATGTTCTGGTACATCATGACACTGTAACCAAGTCGTATTTCTAACTCTAAGCCCATCTGATGTGTCTTTTACAATAATATCAATCCTCTTGACCCTGCTCTGGCTAATAAGCTAAATCTGTAATCAGTTTGGTTTGTATTTTTATGTATCACATGAACTTATACAGCAGGTGAAATTTAAATGACAAACTTACTAATGACTCTCATCTCATAATCAAGGAATGTACATGTCCTGGGTTCAGCAGTAGCAGTCACGTTTCTCCTTTGTGGTAGCTGGTTCAGTGCTGTGTTTTGACTTCCAGCCTGGGAACAATGTTGGTGAAACCGATGTTTTCGGTTGTTTACCCTGACCAAGGACTTTGTGAGGCTCATGCTCTGCCAGGGAGGAAGGGAAGCTGTGAGGAAGCAGAGACGGGGCGCCTGACCCAGGCTAGCCAAGGAGGTATTCCATACCACAGCACGTCATGCCCAGGGAGGGGGGTAACTAGGAGTTACCCGGAGGGACACGGGCTTCCAGGTGGGACTCGTTTCTTGGCCGGTGGTATCGTATTCTCTTCCCTTGTTATTTTCCCTTATCATTGTTGTCGGTGGTGGTAGCGGTGGTGATTTGTGTTGTACATTGGTTGCTGGACTGTTCTTGTCTTAACCTGTGGGAGTTGCACCCTTTCGATCCTCCTCCCCGTTCCTCCGGGAGCGGGGAAGGGGAGAGCCCCGGGGAGGGAGGGGGGGGGGGCCTCGATTGTTGTCAGCCCGGCACCTCTCACTGTGAGTGAGTGAACAAGTTGCCTGACTGGGTTTAAACCACGACAGTTCTTTTTGGCGCCCAAAGTGGGGCTCGAGGGGTTGAGATAACGACGGATCTGACTGGATTAATAGTCATTCGTCACAATGCTGATTTATTGGCTCTCAAGGTTGTTCCTCTTGATCTCACAGTTCAGTATATCATATCTTACTTCCATTCGGTATTTGCTGTGTTAGTGTTTTTCAAGTGTGGGGCTTGGGCTAAGGTTTTTGTCTCATTGTACTTTATGGTAATGACTTGTAATACAATAGAATCATTGATCATGAAACATCTGGCTTATGTTCCCAGTGTGGTCACCACCTTTATACTTTGGGTGGTATATAATAGAAGTGCTTAGCAATTACACATCTTTTTTCTCCTTCTCAGGTGCTCAACCTGTGAAGGAGACATCCTTTTACCCTCCCAGTCATCCCCCCTGACCATTTACATTTGAGAGTTTTGAAGTTTTTGAATGGCCTTTTAATGCTGTTGAGACTTGTTTGCTGATTGTGATGGGAATCACCATGCTAGCACGCATACAGAGCGTGTTTTGCCCATGACTGATTTCAAGAGTTAAGCAGAGTCAGGTTTGGGTCTCATCTGGGATCAAACGACGATGTAGGAGGACCAAGAGATTTTCACGTCATGCCCGGGGAGGGGGGTAACTGGGAGTTACCTGGAAGGACACGGGCTTCCAGGTGGGACTCGTTTCTTGGCCGATGGTATCGTATTCTCTTCCCTTGTTATTTTCTCTTATCATTGTAGTTGGTAGTAGCGGTGGTGATTTGTGTTGTACATTGTTTGCTGGACTGTTCTTGTTTCAACCCGTGGGAGTTGCACCCTTTCAATCCTCCTCCCTGTTCCTCCGGGAGCGGGGAAGGGGAGAGCCCCGGTGAGGGGGGGGGGGGGCTCGATTGTTGTCAGCCCGGCACCACTCACTGGGAGTGAGTGAACAAGTTGCCTGACTGGGTTTAAACCACGACAGTACATCATTAGGCTTTCACAAAGAACACTGGCAGGATTGAGTCTTTTTACTAACACTTTTGATGAAAAGATCATGTGCTTATTACTTTACCAGCCATCTGGAAAAGACAGAGTATGCACCTACGCTGAAGGAAAGGGTAAGATTTCTTCACAAGTGATTTTTAAATAAAATACAAGTCTGTCCTGTAAATACAAACACAAAAGGATCTTATTCTCCAGCAACAAAAAAAAAACCTCAATAGGTAGAACAAATTTAGAATTGGAACCAAGTGGACAGATAGCAACAAAAATGCATGTGCCTTTATAGTGCATCAGTCAAATGCAAGTCCACTATGCCAAGTGGTAGCAAACAAAAAAAGTACTGTCAAAGAAACCAACAGTCTGAGAAGCAAAACCAGAATTCCTGAAAAACAAACCATGAAGCAAGTGTTTTGCTCTACTGCTGCACTGTTAAAGTTTTTAGGTGGAATATAGCTATGCATTTTGGGGCACCATACTTCTGGAATGACAAAGAATTTCTTTCCCACTAAAGACAGAACCACACCAGTATCATCATTATGGATTAAGAAACACAAAAACATGAGAAGACTGAAAAAGCTGAAACCAGCATAGAGAAAGAGAGAACCTAATGAGAGAGTAGCTGCAGAGATTAAATGAATTAGCTACTCTATATGCAACATGAAAAGCAAAGAAGCTGTAAACTGAGAAAAAGAATAAAAGCTACAAACACTACCAACAAAAAAAAACAACCAACAAAAGAAAATCAACCAAAAAGCAAATTCATTTTTGCAGGCAAAAAGCTCTCCATTTACCTGAAATTCTCTAACAAATGAAAACAGTAATTTGCTTAAGATCAAAATATCATGCACACCAAATGCTGAACTGAGGAAGATGACATTATTAATTTGTGGTCAGTTCCATAAAATAGTGCTAACATGCAATATTACATGAACATATCAGGATGATGTACAACATATTTTTGTAAGACGAGAAACAAATTATCATAAAGATGTTACTTGATTTTAAATAATAATATAATATGCTTAAACACTGTTTAAATGTTGTCTAAATGTAGCCAATCAGGAGCCCCAACATCTCAGAATTACTATTGAATTAGCAGCAATCTCCACTGCAAAACCTTCTTATTCTGACAAAACATTTGCAAAGTTATGTAGAAAACCACAAAATGCACTTAATAAAGTAGACGTGGTCATTCTCCCCATTTTTCAGATTACTAATACCCAAATTATTTCATTCATTAGACTTTCAGCTTTTTGACAATGAATTCTGCCTTCACATATACAGCACAGACTCGCATAGCTACCTTAAAGAATGTGCTATCAGACTACCTGTATTTGAAAAAGAATTAAAAATTTTAATAAAGAACCAAAGTGAAGAATCATGTTAATTCTGATTAAAAGCAGAAAGTATATGCTATAGGAAAAAAAACTGCTGAACAGATGAACAATTAACAGTTTGAAATTCTTGTGTCTGATCACTGTTTAAAAAAAAAAAGGCTACAAAATTTCTACAAAATATAAAAATAAAATACTAATCAAAAGCACCTCAAAATCCATCACCACCTGCTATGGTTTCAGCAGTTTGCCTATGAAACAGTTTTTTGAAAGTTCAGTTCAGCTCACCAGCTATATAGCATGCACATAAACAAGTCTAAATGCTCATTTAAAAGAAGTCTGATTTCATGCAGTATCCTTAAAACTAAGCCACTGACTTAAAATAGTAGATGTTACAAGCAGGTGACAGAATACTGCTCTAACCAGGGCCTAGTAAGGACTTGGAAACGACTGTTCTTTTTCCTTTCTGATTATAATTTTGTTTGTGCTATACACAGAGTTTTCTGCAGAGTTTTCAGGCATCCTTTCAAAAATGCCCCTTCCTTGTGTTATACAAGTTTATTTCATCCATACTCCAGATCTACAAAATCTGTTGCAAAAGCATTTATCAGCTGTATCAACTGCCAGCAGATCTGTCTTAATGGCGCATGATTCTACCACTAAAAGCAGGCAAACAATTTGTGTCTCATAAAAACCACTATCCCAGTGCTCTCTCCCCCCCTTTCTTTTTTAATGTCAAGAAACATATATGGTTAAGAAATTGAATGTACAAGAGGTGTCTTATATTTTAATTTGTAAACAAAATCGTCTCCTCCAATAAAATGCAGGAGAGAAGCATAGTAATAACTTCCAGGGGGATTGGAAGAGCAGCTCTCCCAAATGAATGTTGGTGCAGCCTGCTAATTTTAGCATTCTGATTTAGCCTGCTACATCTGAAAAAATAGTAC